CCTCTCAATAGACACTCACCTCTCAATAGATACTCACCTCTCAATAGATACTCACCTCTCAATAGATACCCACCTCTCAATAGATACCTCTCTCAATAGACACTCACCTCTCAATAGATACCCACCTCAATAGATACCCACCTCTCAATAGATACTCACCTCTCAATAGATACCCACCTCTCAATAGATACCTCTCTCAATAGACACTCACCTCTCAATAGACACTCACCTCTCAATAGACACTCACCTCTCAATAGATACCACCTCTCAATAGATACTCACCTCTCAATAGATACCCACCTCTCAATAGATACCTCTCTCAATAGACACTCACCTCTCAATAGATACCCACCTCAATAGATACCCACCTCTCAATAGATACCTCTCTCAATAGACACTCACCTCTCAATAGACACTCACCTCTCAATAGACACTCACCTCTCAATAGATACCCACCTCTCAATAGATACCCACCTCTCAATAGATACCTCTCTCAATAGACACTCACCTCTCAATAGATACTCACCTCTCAATAGATACTCACCTCTCAATAGATACCTTTCTCAATAGACACTCACCTCTCAATAGACACTCACCTCTCAATAGATACCCACCTCTCAATAGATACCTCTCTCAATAGACACTCACCTCTCAATAGACACTCACCTCTCAATAGACACTCACCTCTCAATAGATACCCACCTCTCAATAGATACTCACCTCTTCCATGGAGAAGCATCCCCAGTTAGTGGTTTAGGTTTCAGGAGGTCGTTACAATAGATGTTCCACAGAAGTAGACCGCTCACACTGCCTTATTACGACCACTCATAGCCTAGTCTATAGAGCTTCGGCTTCCCACACGTAGGGGTCCAGGGTTCGAAACCCATACAGGCCTGGTGAATATAAGAATTAATAATATTACTATCGAACAAATCCACAGGAGCTGTGATGACGGCTCGAATCTATGTGTCCGCCAATGCACATTGGATTTGTTTATTGAGATATCACGTTAATGAGATTTGATTACTTATTATTATTATTTCATTACATTACAGTAGGTATTAATATTGCAATCAGCCGTCAAAACAAGTTCATTTGTTATCAAAAAAGAAGTTAATCCTTTGAATAACTAATGAAAAAAAATATATTATAAAACACGAGTTAACAGAATGATTAAAAAAACGGTAAAAATTAATTTATGATATATGGAAAACCGGTTATATGTTTATTATATATATATATATATATATATATATATATATATATATATATATATATATATATATATATAGACAGTAGCCATGTCTCAGACTAACTCTACAGCTCTTTTGTGTCTAACTGTGTATGTATGTATCTATGTGAGCGTATGTATCCGTGTCTGTTAATCGGTTTTATATGTGTCTGCGTGTCTTCAACACTATCTGTCTGTCTTCAGGACTTAGGACAACTGGTGCGGGGATATGTTCAAGAGATAGTTGATCATTAACTCTACTGCCTCTAGTAAATACATATAGCCTTCACTTCTATGTGACTTCAATTTGCATGAGAATATTTATCTCCTAGGTAACCTTAGCAGAAATTCCGTTCATGTATGATTTTTATACATATGCACTCTGGTATTATTCATTTGCTTTGCATGTATGTGTATGTATATGTGTGTATAAGTATACTGAAGATATTTAGATTTCTAAGTATATGCCGGATTAAGTAGATAATTGCTACACTTACGGGTTCTGATTACTTTATAAGTAATGAGAATGGTCGTTAAGTGCTCTACCCGGTACCCTCTCCCGGTAGTCCTACACTACTGGTATCCCGGTACCCCTCTCCCGGTAGTCCTACTACACTACTGGTATCCCGGTACCCCTCTCCCGGTAGTCCTACTACACTACTGGTATCCCGGTACCCCTCTCCCGGTAGTCCTACTACACTACTGGTATCCCGGTACCCCTCTCCCGGTAGTCCTACTACATACTGGTATCCCGGTAACCCTCTCCCGGTAGTCCTACTACACTACTGGTATCCCGGTACCCCTCTCCCGGTAGTCCTACTACACTACTGGTATCCCGGTACCCCTACTACACTACTGGTATCCGGTACCCCTCTCCCGGTAGTCCTACTACACTACTGGTATCCCGGTACCCCTCTCCCGGTAGTCCTACTACACTACTGGTATCCCGGTACCCCTCTCCCGGTAGTCCTCCTACACTACTGGTATCCCGGTACCCCTCTCCCGGTAGTCCTCCTACACTACTGGTATCCCGGTACCCCTCTCCCGGTAGTCCTCCTACACTACTGGTATCCCGGTACCCCTCTCCTGGTAGTCCTACTACACTACTGGTATCCCGGTACCCCTCTCCCGGTAGTCCTACTACACTACTGGTATCCCGGTACCCCTCTCCCGGTAGTCCTCCTACACTACTGGTATCCCGGTACCCCTACAACACTCCTAGTCACCCATTCAACCACTACCCAATCCTCCGGTATTTATCAGTATAAACATTGAATTGCCTGGTTTGACTGACCCCCGTGTGTACTGGGTGGAGTGTAAACAGTGTTGTTTATCCCGGTACTTGCCGGTATAGCGGTGGGAGCGGACGAGCAGGAGTATCGGCTGACCCGGTACCTGTTGGCGAACTACGACCCGTCCGTCAGGCCGGCCAGTAACTCCTCCCACGCTCTCACTGTCGTCTTCGATGTGGCGCTGCATAGTATTATTGATGTGGTGAGTATGTCTCCTCTGTCTCTGTTTGTCTGTCTGTCTCTGTGTCTCTCTGTCTGTCTCTGTCTCTGTGTCTGTCTCTCTGTCTGTGTCTCTGTCTCTCTCTCTCTCTCTCTCTCTCTCTCTCTCTCTCTCTCTCTCTCTCTCTCTCTCTCTCTCTCTCTCTCTCTCTCTCTCTCTCTCTCTCTCTCTCTCTCTCTCTCTCTCTCGTATTATAAATTATTTACGTATGCTGTAATTAGCACAATCTTGAGCTAATTGTCGTAAATTACGCACGTCTGAACGCTCGCTGAGTTGCAGTCATTAAGGTGTGTGTGTGTGCGTGTGTGTGTGTGAGTGTGACTGCGTGTGCCACTAACAACCCTCCCCTCCCCCCTAACCACGTAATGGCCTGCCTACAGGACGAGAGGAACCAGATTCTGACGACTAACTGCTGGCTGATGCAAGTCTGGACGGACGCTCATCTCACCTGGAACGATTCGGACTTCGGCGGCATCTCGGTCATCCGGGTCCCCTTCCAGTTAGTCTGGAAGCCTGACGTGATCCTCTATAACAAGTGAGGTTCTCCTGTTGACAAGCCTTTGATTATCATGTCGCTTCTTGTGGTTAATCTCTCTGTCTCTGTCTCTCTCTCTCTCTCTCTCTCTCTCTCTCTCTCTCTCTCTCTCTCTCTCTGTCTGTCTCTCTCTCTCTCTCTCTCTCTCTCTCTCTCTCTCTCTCTCTCTGTCTCTGTCTGTCTCTCTCTCTCTCTCTCTGTCTCTCTGTCTCTCTCTCTCTCTCTCTCTCTCTCTCTCTCTCTCTCTCTCTCTCTCTCTCTCTCTCTCTCTCTCTCTCTCTCTCTCTCTCTGTCTCTCTCTCTCTCTCCTCTTAAGTGGGGTCAGTTTGTGACTTCTAGCCGAATTGTGACTCTCGGACCGAGCCTTACCTCTTGGGTCCCACCTTTCTAATCGTCGGTGGTGTGATGTGTGTATGTGTGTGTACTCACCTAGTTGTGCTTGCGGGGTGGGGGGGTTGAGCTCTGGCTCTTTGATCCCGCCTATCAACCGACACAGCCTCTCGCCTGTGTGTGTGTGTGTGTGTCCCTCTGCCCCAGTACAGCGTGTACTCTCCCTCCTCCCCCCAGTGCGGACGCCCAGTACTCCCTGGCGACCGTGAGCACTAACGTGATAGTGAACTCCGAGGGGAAGGTGACGTGGATGTCCCACGGCATCTACCGCTCCTCCTGCGACATGAACGTCGAGTACTTCCCCTTCGACATCCAGTCCTGCCGGCTCAAGTGGGCTTCCTGGACCTACGACGGCTTCCAGGTCAGTCCATTTACCTATTTCTACCCGACAGGATTAGCTCTTGACCCTTAGCCCTGACCTGACTCTTATGAGCTCTCGTCAGCGGCTCAAGTCTCCGGTCAGAGATTAGCTCTGACCTGACTCTTAGCTCTTGGACCCCTGTCTTTCTAACCTCAAGATGTAAACAAGGCGTAAGCAAGGCCCTCGTCCCGTAGCTGGACCTGGTGAACCAGACGGACAAGGGCGACATCACCAACTATCACTCCAACGGGGAGTTCGACCTGCTGGAGTTCTCTGTGGCGAGGAACATGGCCTACTACTCCTGCTGCCCCGAGCCCTACCCGGACGTCACTTTCACCCTCAGGCTCCGCCGGCGACCCATGTTCTACATCTTCAACCTCATACTCCCGTGTCTCCTCATTAATGGGATAGGTGAGTCCTCGCATACTCACTGGGATAGGTTAGTGGTCTCATACTGGGATAGGTTAGAATTCTCATATATACTGGGATACGCGGGAATTCTCATACTTACGGGCTATTCATGCCCGTGCCACCTCTTGGGTGGCTTAATCTTTATCAGTCAATCAATTCTCATACACGGGAGACATCTCCCGTCACGCAGGGTGCAGTCGCACCTCCACAGATCTCCAGTATCAGCTCTTGATACTGGTCATGGCTCAAAAGGGCCACCACTTACGGGCTATTCATGCCCGTGCCACCTTTTGGGTGGCTTAATCTTCATCAATCAATTCTCATACGTGGCCGTGGGTGCCCCGGACAGCGCTGCTGGTGTTCTACGTGCCGTGTGAGAGCGGAGAGAAGGTGACGTTGGGCATCTCGGCGCTTCTCTCTATGACGGTGTTTCTGATGACCATCCGGGAGTCCTTGCCGCCCACTGAGAAGACGCCGCTCATAAGTAAGTGCATCTTGGCGCCCCTCCACACTCTCCCCCACACTCCCCCACACTCTCCCCCACACTCTCCCCCACACTCTCCCACACACTCTCCTCCACACTCTCCCCCACACTCTCCCCACACTCTCCCCCACACTCTCCCCCACACTCTCCCACACACTCTCCCCACACTCTCCCCCACACTCTCCCCCACACTCTCCCACACACTCTCCCCCACACTCTCCCTCACACTCTCCCACACACTCTCCCACACACTCCTGGCAGCGCTCTATCTCTGGAGGCACACAACTGCATCTCCCGCTACACACAAGTCCTCATGGGAGTCTTCTCCCACGCTATATTAAACATCCAACCTGTTCTACTGTCACAGTTGACCAGAGAATGAGAGTAGAGAAAACCCCGTTTTCTTACACATCATATCTTCCCATTTTCCAGGTGTGTGTACATTATACTCTAGTCTACTTGTACATATTAGCATATCCACTCGTTTTCACCGAGGCCATTATATAACTTCAACAGTCAGAGGTGCTGTGCTGAGCGGTGGGCGTGTATAACTGGAGGAGTATAACGTATATGCACACTCACATACACACGGGCTCACCATAACCCGTGCTTCTTGCCCCGCTCCTGTGCCAGGTAACTTACGGGGTCACCATAGCCCGTGCTACTTGCCCCGCTCCTGTGCCAGATAAGTCCACTACGGGCTCACCATAACCCGTGCTACTTGCCCCGCTCCTGTGCTAGGTAAGTCCACTACGGGCTCACCATAGCCCGTGCTACTTGCCCCGCTCCTGTGCCAGATAAGTCCACTACGGGCTCACCATAGCCCGTGCTACTTGCCCCGCTCCTGTGCTAGGTAACTTACGGGCTCACCATAGCCCGTGCTACTTGCCCCGCTCCTGTGCTAGGTAAGTCCACTACGGGCTCACCATAGCCCGTGCTACTTGCCCCGCTCCTGTGCTAGGTAAGTCCACTACGGGCTCACCATAGCCCGTGCTACTTGCCCCGCTCCTGTGCTAGGTAAGTCCACTACGGGCTCACCATAGCCCGTGCTACTTGGAACTTGTTCCGAGTAGCTGAATCTATGACAACAACGTATATGAGTGTAGAGCGTGGTGTCCGTGCCTCAGGTATGTACTACGGCGTGAGCATCTGCCTGGTGAGCCTGGCGTGCGGCCTGTCCGTGGTGACGCTCAACGTCCACCACCGCGGGGCGAGGGGCGCCGCCGTCCCCCGGGCCCTCCAGAGGCTCCTGGTGGGGCCCCTCTCCAAGCTCCTCTTCTTCCACTTCCACAACCCGGCCACAACACGCCCCGTCACGCCTCAAGACAATCATCTTCACCTTAACGTAAGCTGCCACTCCTTGACGGTATAAGCCACCACACACAGAGATCACACTAACGTGATGCATCAAATGAACAAATCCACAAGGGCCGTGACGAGGATTCGAACCTGCGTCCGGGAGCATCCCAGACACTGCCTTAATCGACTGTGCTACGACAGGATTAAAAGGGTTGAAACCGAAGTTCTACTGAACTTACTGGATCCCCCTGTCGTAGCTCAGTCGATTAAGGCAGTGTCTGGGATGCTCCCGGACGCAGGTTCGAATCCTCGTCACGGCCCTTGTGGATTTGTTCAGTATAAGCCACCTCTGCCTCACCCAGCCACTTGGACTGGACGGTAGAGCGACGGTAGAGCTTCATGCGGGTCGGTGTTCAATCCCCGACAGTCCAAGTGGTTGGGCACCATTCCTTCCTCCCCTGTCTCATCCCAAATCCTTATCCTGACCCCTTTCTAGTATTATAAAGTCTTAATGGCTTGGCGCTTTCCCTTGATAATTAAAAAAAATCAGTCTTTTCCACCCCCACACCCAGTATGGATGTCATTCCTCCCCCTCTGTCTCAGGGGACCTATCCCCCTACTATCATTGGGTAGCGATGTCCTCCAGGAAGCTGTGTCTGCTGCCTCCACTAACTTTTCTCTCCAGGTTCCGTCTCCTCTTACCATTTCACTCAAGTGAAATGTCATTCACTCATTAAATGTTATTGCTACTCAGAATTGGCTTCGAAGCCTGGCATAGGTGATCAGCCCGGCTGTGATGGGGGTCGTGGTACACCGCAACAGCCCAATTTATTCCCCCAAAGGCTCCACAGCAACGGGATTTAACCTCACAGCCTCACTACCCTAGCCAAGATGACCTCGCCTTGTCCTCCTGTACAGGTCGGCTCCTCCTTATACCTGGGAGAAATTGCCTCATTTACTGCGTTGGGAAACAACAAACTATTGTGGTTGGCAAGTGCACCACCAATCCATAACTAGTAATTAACATTTGCTATCGCTAGGACAATTACTAATACACATAAAAATTACGTTAATAACCAGGACAGTAATTTAATAGTGTATAATTTATACACTTTAATAGTGTATAATTTTTGCCCTCGGAGCAAAAATAAAAAAATAATAATAAAAAAAAACGGAACAGAGGTATTATTGCTGATGACATTCCAGCAGACAGTGTTAGGTGTGACGGCAGATACATATTACTGAATACCTGGAGGTCATACATACCTGTAGTGATACGTGTATGAATACCACTACTGAATACCTGGAGGTCATACATACCTGTAGTGATACGTGTATGAATACCACTACTGAATACCTGGAGGTCATACATACCTGTAGTGATACGTGTATGAATACCACTACTGAATACCTGGAGGTCATACATACCTGTAGTGATACGTGTATGAATACCACTACTGAATACCTGGAGGTCATACGACACTACACGTCAACCACGTGACTGACACTACGCTCATATTGTCACGTGTAACCACGTTTTATTGACACGTTAAGCTAAGGCAGAGAATAATAAATGAATGCAAGTGTCGTAAAGCACGATAACACTGTCTCTGGTTAGATCTTTGTCAGTTTAGACTGTATATGACTCTGGAGATAAGACATTCAGTAGATAAAGACCCTCCCAGACACTATCTAACTCCTTCAGGCGAGCCTATACCACTACTACCACCACTAACACTACTACCACCACACCTCAGCATCAACAAGAGGGGGCAGAACAGTGGTTGAGGGCCAAGATGGTTGGCAAGGCCTCCCTCAGGATTAGTGAAGGCTCAGCAATCTGCGACACAACTTAGGACCTCAATCTCATTAGTCAGATGGAGAGGGGATGGAGGGTAGTAAGGACAGATGTATGAAGCCAGGGATAGAAGGAGGGATGAAGATAGGGATGGAGGAGAGGATGGAGTCCACAATCTCTCGTCCAACACAACACAGCTAAAGGGGTACAAGATTACAGAAGCACATAATGGGCTCAGGACCTCAGCCCCCATCAATATTGGTGTAGGTAAGCATGTTACAGCATTGATGAGCTACTTACAGAGTTTGATATATACATCAACACGTTGTTCAAAGTTTTAGTTAGTTTAGTTTAATTACCAGAAAGTTACAGTTACATAATGGGTTCAGGAACTGTACTCCCAATGCTCCAAACAATATGTGTAGTGAATTAGTTTGTTAGGCCTGAAATCTGCGATGAAGTTACAAAGTAATGAAATTATATCGCTGTATCTGACATTATCTTGTCAGGAGTTAAGCGAGTTAGAGACTTGCAAGCAATTGCACTTTAGTGTATTCACCTATTTGTGCTTGAGGGGGTTGAGCTCTGGCTCTTTGGTCCCGCCTCTCAACTGTCAATCAACTGGTGTACAGGTTCCTGAGCCTACTGGGCTCTATGGATGTGTTTGTGTTCACCTAGTTGTGTTCACCTAGTTGTGTTTTTTGCTGGGGTTGAGCTTTGCTCTTTCGGCCCGCCTCTCAACTGTGTGTGTGTGTGTGTGTGTGTGTGTGTGTGTGTGTGTGTGTGTGTGTGTGTGTGTGTGTGTGTGTGTGTGTGTAGACTGTCTAGGAGAGACAGACTTGGTTGATGTACCTGTGAGGTACCTGTGTACCTGTGAGGTACCTGTGTACCTGTGTACCTATGAGGTACCTGTGTACCTTTGAGGTGTTCCTACAGGACCTGAGACCACAAGACCAGCGGGGGGACCACGAAGTCCGTCTGGCCTTCTGCGGAGACCACAAGGTCCACATGACCAGCTTAGACCCGACGGAGCACATCAGACCGCCCACCAGGACCAGCCACAGGAGAGGTCCGGCGACCAATACGGACACCAGCACGCCCACGCCCACGCCCACACCCACGCCCACGCCCACGCCCGCCCACGCCTCAGGTGAGTCTTCCTACCTGTCTGTACAAGCCTGGGTTGTGTCATACGCAGCAAAGTATACCTGAATGATTCAGGTATACTTTGTTATACTTCAAGCGGGTTTCTAGAATTGTTTTCCGGTATACAGTATTTTGGTCAGAGAATGGGTGAGCTTGGCGTGTATGGCCTCTGATGATGCTTATGTATACACCTGTATATTTACAGCTAGGGTTGTATGACCCCCTCTGATGATGGGTATAGGTTAGGTAATAATTGTAATTACGAAGCAATAAGATGCTTATCTTAACATACTAAGTAGGTTAGGTAAGGTCGGTGTTTTCTATGAAGCTTTTCAAGGGAAACTATTATGTTTAGTATATCACCTATGCACGTAGTTAATAAGTCAATATTGACTTTACGAATTTGCGAGAACGGGTTGGATGATGCTTATGTATACCACCTGTATATCCCCAGCCATGGCTATATGATAAATGAAACTGCTTGTGTATATCCTGTGCTTGGGGGTTGTATGACACCTTACATGGTCTTGTGAATACACCTGCATACACTTCCCTCCTGGCCTGTATGATCCCCGTCGCTGGATCACGTGGTGTATACAGTATTAATACACGTACGAGGATAATATTGGTGAGGGAATATGGTTTTAGGTTAAGGTAAGAGAGACCTGTATACTATCCCCCCATCCCATCCCCCAAGAGACCCATGTACCCCTCGACCCCCTTCTCCCCACACCCCACACCCCTCCAGCCTCCCCCCACACCCCCAGCCTCCTCCCCACACCCTCCCCCCCACCCCCAGCCTCCTCCCCACCCCCCCAGCCTCCTCCCCCCCACCCCCCACAGCCTCCCCCCCACACCCCCACACCCCCAGCCCCTCAGCCTCCCCCCACACCCCCCAGCTCCCCCCACACCCCCAGCTAACCCCGTCCCTCGTGCTGTTGCAGACTTCGAGCGCCAGTTCCTTCTCGTCCTCAATAAAGTACATGAAACAATTGAGAAGAATGAACTCAGACTTGGCGAGCAGGACAGGAGGGAGTCCACCAGACTAGAGTGGCAGCAGGTAAGCCCGTGTGTGTGTGTGTGTGTGTGTGTGTGTGTGTGTGTGTGTGTGTGTGTGTGTGTGTGTGTGTGTGTGTGTGTGTAATTACCTAAGTAATTACCTAAGTGTAGTTACAGGATGAGAGCTACGCTCGTGGTGTCCCGTCTTCCCAGCACTCATTGTCATATAACGCTTTGAAACTACTGACGGTCTTGGCCTCCACCACCTTCTCCCCTAACTTGTTCCAACCGTCTACCACTCTGTTTTGTGTGTGTGTGTGTGTGTGTGTGTGTGTGTGTGTGTGTGTGTGTGTGTGTGTGTGTGTGTGTGTGTGTGTGTGTGTGTGTGTGTGTGTGTGTGTACACTCATCTATTTGTGCCTGCAGGATCGAGCATTGGCTCTTGGATCTTGCCTTTCTAATCTTCGGTTGTTTAAAGCAATGACTCCTGTTCTTCTTCTTCTCTATCATACCTAGTTTTAAAGCTATGAATAGTGTTTGCTTCCACACTGTGCTCCTGAAGTGCATTCCATTTTCCCACTACTCTCACGCTGAAAGAAAACTTCCTAACATCTCTGTGACTCATCTGAGTTTCCAGCTTCCACCCATGTCCTCTTGTCCTGTTGGTATTCTACATAAACTTTTCGTCTATTTCCACTCTGTCAATCCCCCCCCCTAAGTATTTTGTATGCTGCTATCATATCTCCCCGCTCCTTCCTTTTTTTCTGACGTCGTCAGGTTCAGTTCCTTCAGTCGCTCTTCATATTTCATCCCTCGCAACTCCGGGATGTTCCCAGACGCGCTCTATCCTCGTGGGGAACAGAAGCACTTCAGGTTGCAATATTTTGACCATGTCGTGGTATAGTTGACTTGAGCGCGTCTGTGAACATCCAGCACACAGGTTCGAACCCCTCATCAAGGTCCTAGTGAATGTGTTCCTTTGATATATCACGTTATTGTGAGTTCTCTGTGTATTCTAGTGTATAGTAACATTAACTTTTGAGTAAATGCCAGTGCTGAATACGAGGGAATTGACGAATTCATCTTTGGGGTTCGGTCGCCGCTTTAACGAGCCCAGCCTGGGGGACAGGTTGACGCAGGACACAACGCTCTGATGCGAACGCTTGTACATATAATTTCCTGTACACCATGAACAAAACTGTACACAGCTGATGACAGTGTTGCCAATACTCGAGAACCTGCACTTCCCTCAACACCTGATCTGGCAACGCCGCCCCATGGCCATTGTGCAATGGACCTCTGGCCATATTTAGGAGAATATAATCTCCTTTCTATATATCTAGAATATATATAGAATATATAGTCTTCGTTCATTCGGCGTCGGAACATCTCTCTTCTCTATCGTCATGCATACAAAGTCGGCTCCTGCTTGCACGAACGGCTCTTTGTTTACATAGGCGGCTGCCGCTTACACGAACGTCAACACGCGGTACCGCTCGTCAAGTATACACGAACGGCTCCTGTTTACTCGATAAGCCTACAACAGGCTTATTCTCCCCGAACAATGGGAAAAACAGTCTTTCCCCACCATTCGTACCCGATGACCAGTTGCAAAACAAGAACAACAAAGTAATACCTACAACAATAATCATAACATGTCAATATTTAAACGACCGCGAAAATGTCACCAAATTGTGGCGATTTAAGGAACGCAATATTGACGGTTTATAGGCCTGATAATTATCGGTAGGTTCTGTCGCTTGTGGCTAGTCACATCCCTCTCTCGCGCTGAGATATTTTTGCTATTAAAAAACAAAATTGATACAACAAGCCTCGCAAAAAAGCATGTTGTTGTTGTTATAGATTCAGTTACTCGGAACAAGTTCCAAGTAGCACGGGCTATGGTGAGCCCGTAGTGGACTTCGGGGCAAGTAGCACGGGCTATGGTGAGCCCGTAGTGGACTTACCCGACACAGGAGCGGGGCAAGTAGCACGGGCTATGGTGAGCCCGTAGTGGACTTACCCGGCACAGGAGCGGGGCAAGTAGCACGGGCTATGGTGAGCCCGTAGTGGACTTACCCGGCACAGGAGCGGTGCTGAGTAATTTCATTTCTGGGACTGCCAAAAAAGCAGGCCTCTCCTATTTATATATCTCTCTCCAGTTCTACTATTCCTCTTTTCCCACGAAGGATAGTTCCCCACAGATACCCTACGGAAGCTCCCTATCCACCCCCCACAGACACCCCCTATCCCCTCCCACGGATACCCACATTACCTACCGCCTCTCCCAAAAATGCTGTTATCTAAAATAATATTTTTGCAGCTCAATTCATGGAGCGATAAGTTAAGGAGAGAAATTACAGATGCTATCAGCCCGGCGCTCAGAATGATCCCTATAAATTGTTAGTGAAATTTGTGCGCGCAAATGAATGGGAACTTGACTTTTTTTTTCCACGTCCGCAAAAGCTGAGCGGTGGTTTGAAGGCCGCTTGATCCTCAGCTAAAGTGGTGTATTTTAGTTGGGCGTAATTCAGACTCGCTATAACGAGGGGAATTGTTGACGTTATAGCTGGTGATGAATACGCTTTCATTGACGTCAACGCTGGCGATGAATGCACTTTCATTCACTCACTTCTGCCGCAGTCTTTTTTCGTTTTTTTTTTTTAATTTTTTATACCTTTTTTATGCTTTTTTATAACTTTTTTATGCTTTTTTATAACTTTTTATGCTTTTTTATAACTTTTTTTATGCTTTTTTATAACTTTTTTATGCTTTTTTATAACTTTTTTATGCTTTTTTATAACTTTTTATGCTTTTTTATAACTTTTTTATGCTTTTTTATAACTTTTTTATGCTTTTTTATAACTTTTTATGCTTTTTTATAACTTTTTTATGCTTTTTTATAACTTTTTTATGCTTTTTATACCTTTTTTATGCTTTTTTATAACTTTTTTATGCTTTTTATACCTTTTTAAAACCTTTTATGCTTTTTTACCTTTTTTAATCTATACAATTTTCACTTTTTACACATTTTAATCAGTTCACTAACTCATATAAATCAGTATTTACCTTTAATGTGAAAATGTGAAGCATAATTTCTGCAATTTAATCCCTTTGAAGAAAGTGATCTTTTGATCCAGTCGGCGGCGGAGGAGAAATTCATTCTTTTCTTCAGTTACGAGTCATTTCCTTCTCTTTCCGGTCGTTAACTCGCTTTTCCTCTCCTTTACTGTTGTTTTTCTTTAATTACCGACGACGCGGTGAGCACAGCACTCGGATCCCAAATCAATGGTCCCGGGTTCGACTCCCGCGTAAGAAACCTTGTCAAAACGCAACCCTCATATCGAACAAGTCGAAAAATTGGGGGAAACGAACCTGGACCATTTGCTGCTTTTTAGGCTACTACTATCCGGGACAGGAAGCCTGCAAGTTAGCCATCCCAGGTAGTAAACCTACAAGAATTCCCCTAACATCCTGGTGTCTATTGCTTAGTGAAGAGGCATCAGGTGAAAGGAAAGGTGCATAAACGTTTCTGTCCTGTCCCTCGGTTGTGAGCCTAGGTTGTGATGCCCGAAACGCTTTGCGTAATAGTGGCTTTAGGCATTGTATGTACTAGCTCTACCTATAAGTCAACCAATCCTTGTAAAAATTTATTGTATGTATGTACCTTACCTAAATAAAATTGTTGTAATTGTAGGACGAAGACCACTGTGCTACATGCCATCTATTTTCCTTAATTCTAAAAGTACATAACATCAAAATAAAGTACAAACTGCAATATGGCAACGATTATCAGTGTTGCCATAAGGTCAAGCGGCCGCGGGATAAACTCAGGCTTATAAACTCGACTCATAATCGGGAATTCCGAGTTCGTATCCCGGCCGAGACAGAAATGATGAGTTGCGTTTCCTATCACCTATAATGCCCAACTTGTTCACCTAGCAGTAAATAGGTACACCCAGCTTGTTGTGGGGGGGGGGGACTCCATGTAAGCCTAACATGTATATATATATATATATATATATATATATATATATATATATATATATATATATATATATATATATATATATATATATATATTGTGACGATAATCTCCTTCAAGAGATTGAGCCTGCTCTTCCCTCCATAATTACGTCTTCACAATTTAAAAAGACTATGGAAGAAATGTCCAACAACACCAGCAAGGCTTGCCAGGGTGAGCAAAACGTATGCAACCAGCCACCTGTTCGAACTCCAACCACCAAACTACCCGTTGATCGCTACGGCTCCGCTGATTGGTCGCCGGTCTGGCTGCACCTGCCTCGCCCCCCCAATACTACCTGATGTCTGGGGTCGCCCCAACATCAGTCTTCAGAATGTTCCGTGCTTTCGTAGCCAGCACTCCTCCCAGCTAGACTCTAGAGTGTACTGAGAGAGGTGGTGGCTTTAAGCCAATATTCCAGCACCTCCCACTAAACTTTTGTTGCACTTCTTGTTATTTTGACTTAACGTAACTTTTCATTGTGTCATTTAAGTATTCTTATTATTTTGATTCATTGATTTTATTATAAGAATTTGTTTGTGCATTATTTTCATGTTTTGATTTATTTAACGTAATTAAAATTTCATTGTTAAAGTTTACTTGTGTTTTGTGTGTCTTCTCCTTACCTTACCACAGACGAAGTTCCAGTTTTTTCTTTTTTTTTTATAACTATGTGACGAGGCCATACCCCTAGCCTTAAACAGCCGAACACCAACGCGTTACCGTCACAAGTTATATGGGGGCCTGTCCTAGGAGCTTCACTCAGGTACTGGTGCCAAGTGGTAATTTATGGTAAGCGTATTTAACTCTGTTAACGTAGCTTTACTATTTTTCATTCAATTTCATTTTTTATAAGGTGCGGTGTATTGTGCATTACGAGAGTAACATATAGTGAAGGTGAGACAACTTTGGATTACGTGGTGACTGTAGGCCGCAGTCATACTCTTAATTGGTCATCTCTCCCTCCATGTTATTACTCGTATTTACCATCTATGTCCCTTGAATATTTCTCATTCTGACAGATCATCATATTGGTAC